ATTGATTTAACTTAATACACAAGTGTCAAAATACTATAATTAAACTACATGAATTGTCTTTTACCATGTCCACCAGTTTCCTTTAGATTACATTTTATCTTTGGACAGTGTAACATAACTAAAGTTTATAATAATTTTTAGTTATGCAGAGTATGCTGGATTATTGATGAAAAAAAACAGCAACACATAATTAGAGAAATATTCCCTGAAATTACCAGTATGAGCAAAAATTTTAAAAACTTCAAAATATTTGGTTAAGTATAAAAGGATCCCATTTTTTGGTTTTTTTTTCATTAATATATTGTTGTCACAGCTAAATATATTGTATTTAAAAGAGATATCTTACTGGTTTGTCTTTTCTTTATAATTATTCAACACTTCATAATATTGATTTAAAAAATGTCATTATTGGACTTCACCATTATGTGGAAAATGTTTGAAACTTGACTTTGAACAGTTATTTTAAGTACAAATATTAAAAAGCTGTTTGAAATAACATTGGTAGAAAGCTGTTCTGTTGAAAACAAAATAACTAGTCAGCATATAATACACTATTTTTCAAAATAGAGGTATTTATATGTAAATTTTCACATTATGAACTTGTAGTTAACATTACTTTTATAAATTTGTTTGCAATTTTTTTGATAAGTTTGAAATCTAAGATTTACTACAGAAATTTTTTTAAATATACAGTTTTTGACAAAAAAAATGCATTTTGCATGGGAAAAAGAAATACAGAGCTTTACTGATAGGCCTAGCACGACCTGGTGGTAAGGGTGCTCAATTTGCAATCTGTGGGTTTGAATCTTTGTCAGTGAACATGCCCTTACAGCTCTGGGGGAATTATAATGTTATGGTCAATTACATTATGCTTTGGTAAAAGGGTAGCCCAAGAGTTGGCTGATTACTGTTGACTAGCTGCCTTTCTTCTAGTCTATCACTGCCAAATTAGGGACAGCTAGTGCAGAGAGCCCTCCTGGGAGTAGCTTTGTGTGAAATTCAAAAAACAAAAAGCTTTACTGATTTTTGTTATATGTTCTAAATTTATGCTCAACACATTGCTTCACTTATTTAAACTGGCTTCAGTTCTCAATCTTTGTGATAATTTTATTTTCCAAAGCATCACCAGTAGGATCCTGTAAGAAAATTGTTTTAATTTTTTTACTTTGTTCTCTTTGCTTACTGTTCAATATTAAAATCAAATTTATACACTTCTCTAACTGACTTAAATGAGTTAAAAAATTCTGTATAGTGAAATCCATAAAATGATTCTGGTAATTTGTATTTAATAGATTTAGCTCCTCTTGATGATACACTTAAAACATATTTACACAGTTTTTGTGTCTACATGTATGACTGTACAACTGTTTCGTTTGGGTACTTACAAAGTTAGTCTTCATTCAGGGACCTATGTCAGTTGTCAATTTGGTGTTTAGGTGTATGCATTTTATTGTGGTTTCAGCTTGTAGGTGGTATTTCTGGAGAAAAAGATAATTTGTTGTTTGTTGCTTTTTACTGGTTATTATGTAACAAATATTTTTTCTGAATGTGATTTTTATTCTAGCCAAGACCATTAGCAAGCTCTTCTCCACAGACTACTCAAGGAAATGAGAGAATGGATAATCAGACTCCTGCCCAAAGACAAGCTGTGGCTAAGCTAGCTCTCCGCAAACAACTAGAGAAAACATTGCTGCAGATCCCACCTCCTAAGCCTCCGCCACCTGAGATGCACTTTATACCTAATGCAAATAATCAAGAATTTATATGCCTTTTGGGTCTGGAAAAGATTGTTGACTTCATGATGCAGGATAATCAAACAGCAAGGGCTCCTCCAGAACCATTTCTCTGTATTCAGTGTGATACTGATTTTACTCCAGTTTGGAAATGGCAAGATACAATCACAGAGTCAGGAAAGAAACATCCTGCTGTAATTTGTGAAATGTGTGTCACCTCAAACATTAAAAAAGCATTAAAAGCAGAACATACCAATCGCTTGAAAACTGCTTTTGTCAAAGCTCTGCAACAGGAGCAAGAAATAGAACAGAGCTTGTCTCAAGTTATTCCAAGCCCTCCACCTTCTACCTCTCCCTTAACACAAGCTCAGTCTTCCACTTCCGCCCCAACAACAACAGTATTTTCTAATCGTGGTACACCTCCACCATCGTCCCATAGTCCTATTCCAAGAATGAATGCCACTAATCCCAGTGCAGCAGCCGTTGCTGCTGCTGCTAATTCAGCTGCTCTTCTTCAGCAAATACCGAAGTTAACACCAGCACAGCAGTCTATCTTGCAGGCCCAAGCACATCAGTTGCACCAGATTGCCCAGGGCTTGCCTCACCAACCACAACCTGCTCACATGATTCCTTTTAATCCATTACTAGCCCAGGCGTATTCTTACCAAATGCTAGGAAAAGCTCCTTTCACCTCACCTGATTTGCAGCGTCAGTATTTACTAGATATGATCCCTCCACGCTCTCTACCCCAAAGTCCAATGAATTGGAAGTCTTGATTTAAAACATTTTACTCATTTTTATACAATAGGAGAATCTCATACTTGCATTTCTTATTTTGACATTCATCACTTGTCACTACAACAAATAATCTGTACAGTAATTTCTTGGGTGATTTTGTACACATATTTATTAACAGTTAAACTATTAATACTTACAATATGGCAACTAATGTACTATTATTATTTTATTTTTTATCATGGCTTCTGATAACTTTGTGCTTATACTCAAGCATTTTCTTACATACTTTTATTGATCTTTTGAAGGTAAAAATGGTATTTTATGTAAAAAAAAACATCTAGAATTATATTGAAATGTTAAGTTTTAGAAGATAGTAATTTAAAATTCATTTATACTATGGGTGGAAGAAAGGGGGGTTTTTGATAAAGATTATGGATGAAATTTCAGAAATAAACATTTTTTCATCACTGGCATCGTTTTAAATTTTTACATGCACTGAATGTCATTAAATTATACCACAGATTGTACTTTCTACTTTCAAAAAGTGACAGTTTTGTGAAATCAGTTTTGCAATTATTCACTCTAATCATGTATTGCAACTCATTTTAGCAGATTAACGTTAGCCTTTAAATAAATTATTTAGAAGTCTCAAATTTATTGTATCTTATATATAAATACAAATTTAAAGGTTGTGACATATTGAAGCTACTATAAATAAGAGGAAAAGTAATTACTAGTTTACTTGGTAGTAACAGTTTTCTTGCAATGAAGCATATACTTTGTTTTGTAAAATTTGTTAATTTGTTGTTCACGCTGTCAAAATTGGATCAAAAACTTATTTTTTATTTAATTTCTTTAACTCTGACATCAACTTGTTTTTCAGAAACTTTCAGAAATTACATTTTTTTGGAGAGGTGAGAACCCACAAGTTTCTAAATACAAGATTTATATTGTTAGATATACAAAGAAATTAGTTAATTTAGAGACATATTTATGTTGTTATAAGAATGAAGTATTATCAAACACAAAACCATTGTAAACCAGAATCAAAATAAATGAGTTATCAATTAATATTTTCAAATTCCAGTAAGATCTTGCCTTGTGAAACAAAACTTAAAATTTTTAACCTTTATTTTCATGGGTGGTGTTCATAGCGGAAATGTCACAACCTTTTACAGAGTTGCATTCAAATTTTAATTAAACTACTTTATTATCAATAAACCTGGGATCAAAATATAGTTCATAAGTCAAATGTTAGTACTATACAAGTTTAAATCTCATAATTTCAAAAGGAAATATTTAAATAAATTCTCTGTATTAAGTGACACTTGTTTGCTCCAAACCCATTTTAGATATTCTTATTACTCCATGTGATGTCCTGAGTTTGATGTAGCATACATTTGTTGTATAGATATTGCTATTTTATAGCCTCCAATCATCTTGATTTACTGAGATATAAATAAGAAAGTCAAACAAACAATGCTATACCCTCCTGTTGCATCTTTTTTTTTTTCCAAAAAACTTCAGTAATTCTCTCTGACATTGGCTGTTGGATTATTTACAACAAATGCATTTTAATTTACTGATTTTTCTATAAGAATAGCTTGTTCTTATGACAGGTATAGAACTGTTCAGTCTACAAATTCATTGTTCCTATCATGGACAAGAATCGAAATATCACATTTCAGGGGAATTTAACTTTTGTCAAAGAATTTCATCTTTTTAATTGTCTTTCCTGATCAGGAATGCATGGTCCTTCCATATTCTCTTGTTTTGACCAATGAAAGTGAACATATCACATAGATTAAATAACAACAATTAATGAAGGAATGTAATCTTCCCGATAGCTTTCCCTTCAGTGAATGTAATTTTATTTCATTATTTCTATCCCTGGTGGAAGTCACCTATTATACCAGCATTATTATAATGGCATTAGTTTAACTTGTTTGTTGTTTAGTTACAAAGCCAATTAAATTATAATAGTTTTAGGTCATTGCATTTTTCTTGTGTTAATAACTTTGTATTTTAAATAAATATAAATCATTTTATATATTACTACCATTGTTACAAAAAACTAGCGTTAAGTTTCATTCAGGACCGAGAAAAAAAACGGATGTAAGTACTACATTTCTGGTTTTTTATGTATATTGTTATACAAGTAACTAAAATATAAAGTTTTTAGGTTGTATGAAGAAAAAAAGTTAAATTTCTCAGTCAGGTACAAATGTAAGGTTCTTACAAAGTTGAGTGTTTGGTTTACCATAACTTAATCCACTCACTCACCAAGTGATTTATAGCTTTGTTACATAGATTTAATCAAACATGGTTCAAAGAGCAATAGAACAAATTAAAATAGATGTAAACTGTTACAAGTCTGAAGCTGTATAGGATAATTGTGATCTGTTAGAACCTGCAGTCATTCTAGAAAGAAAAAAGGGGTAATTTAAATTTATTCTTTGTGATGGTTACAAGGTCGGTTAAATGAATCAAGCCCACATGTCATTAGGGCAGAGAAAATAGATAAAATATAAATTAATAATGATTTAGGAGGTACTAGAGATTATGCACATTAAATGTGATAAGTATAAGATCAAAAGTATTTTTATTCTTAACATGAAAATCACTTTGCACGTAAACCAACTAAATTCAGAGATAAATCTTCAGTAGAAATAATTTATTCAAAATGCTGTTCTTTTTGTGTACTAAATACATGTAACACTTACCACATTTCATTAAGATGCACTAATTAAATTGGAATTATAGTAAACTAATTATCAAGTACAAGCTTTGTTCTATAGACTGACCTCACAACATAGGGTTAATGACTGAATTTCTGGCTGTATTGATTGCTAATATAAAAGTTAAATATAATTATAAATTGAGTATGCATATGTACAGTAATTATTTACAAAATTTGGTTTAGTCATTAAAAATATTTTCAACATCACAGGCACATGTTGACTCAAAGATGATTTATCATGTTTAAGGTTTCAAGTTAATGTAGGACTTGTCTTGATAATATTTCCTTTAAAACAAATGAGGTTGGTAAACTTGGTTTTCTTTGTATTATATAAATCAATTTGCTCACTAAAATGATGCTTCATGCTTGGAATAGTTATTGTCAACCTGCTTACTTACCGTTAAATTGAGATGTGCTTTCTATAATCATGCTTGGAATATTACAATTATTTGGCAAACATTTTTTTTTTAAACTATTTGCTAAAAGCATGAAACTTAGACAAATAATGCAAACTGAAGAAGGGGTTTAGTGCTATTTAAATCTAGGCAGCATAGGTGTTGTAGGGTTGGAATATCTTATTGATTACTCTACAGTTGTTTCTAGAAGTGGACAGTGTTTTGGACACTGCTGAGGCTTTTGTTAAATCCACCCCAGGATCAAAGGTACGAGCAGTCAACAAGAAATTTTAGTCCTACAAAGTATAAGACTATTTTATTTCTAAAACCACCAGTGGTAAACTAGAATTTTTATTTTAAATGGCATAAATCTAAATTTGACTTTACAGAAACTCAACTTTTTTTAGTTGTACAGGTTAAAGATTGTTGAGGTCATACTAATAATGTTTTTGCAAGACACTCATTTTTAAAGGCATTATAAAATTTTAGGCAACTCAGTTAAATAATGTTTTAGTTAAACTAGTGGATTTGATTGAAAAAATCTATATGTACAATTAGGGAAGCCAAAATTATAACATTTTCTACTGAATAACTTATTTATCTTACTTTTGTGTTAAATGGCAGAAATATCACAATTCACTTTTATTCTAGACCAATTTTAACCACTGTAGTTATACAATCTCATGTCGATTGTGTTGGTGCACATGCCAAAGGTTTAATGTTAACCACTTCAACAAATGCATCTGAGTCATCAAACCAACAAGTAAGATGAGCAGTATCTACTGTAAAGAAATATAATCTATCAGTACAATGCATCCTTCTATAGACTGATCGTGGATCTGCTTTAAGTATACTAGTAATGACTTTTTTAAGCTCGACAGCTCCAGAAAGAAACTTCAGACAGTAGTTACATGTAGAAGAATGGGCACTGTAAGTGTGAAAGTTATCTAGTATCTTCTCAGTTCGTTGGGTAAAATACACAGCTAATTCAGGAACATGGTCACCACAAACCCATGCTGGTATTTGAGATTGTGAACTTGTTTCAGTTAATTGAAGAGGAATTCCCTGAGTTGTCACAACATCAGCAACAGTACCATCTTGAACTTTATATTGTAAGGAACAGTGTTCCTGGGAATTGATCTCATGGTGCTTGTCTGAAGTTAAAAAATATCCTGTATTTTCTGGATAATCTATTCCTTTGTTACCTAAAGTTTTATTAATAGACAAAGTATGAACATTATCACAGTTTAGTTTTTCATTTGTTGGCTTGCTATCGAGATCCAAAACATTATTACATTTCTTTTCAAAATCCTGCTCACTGCTATTAGAGAAATCGACTTTGCTAGGAAAGTTGTCTTTATGAAATTTGCTTTTCTTGTCTTTGCACTCTTTTTCTGGAAATTCAAGATGTTTGTTGAATGGGTAGTTAGTGTTGACATTTAAATCATTTTTGTGAAGGCAGTATGCTGGTAAATGACAAGCAGTTAAATCAAATTCTTGTTTTTCACCATATGAAACACTTCTTGTTTCTGAACTTTGGTGCTGACTATTTAATATCACACTGGACTTTACCATACTTTGATAAAAAGGTGTATCATAGTCTGGGATATATGGCTTTATATCAACTACAGGGGTCTCATCAAGAATGTCTACCCCTGTTACATGCAATATTTCTCCTAGATTGAAAACATAATAAGAATATTGAATTAGATAATTATACTTTTAACTTGCTAACAAAAGGTATATAATAAACACCTAAAACCATTATGTTCAAGTAATTGTACACAGAAGTATTTATAAGATTATGTTCTTCCAAATTATTCGATTGAAACAGTATGAAAAATCACTTCTGAGAGAAAATAAAAATATTTATAGATGGGTGGAAAATATACAAAAGCTCTAAATCAGAGTAAGATTTTTTAAGTATGTGATACATGCTTTTCTGTCACTCATTGATAACATTTTCTTTTTTAATCTAAAAATGGATTCATCTTGCAAAACATATAAACACAAGAATATATTTTTAGTGGGGTGGTACAGATGATGGGGTTAATCAACAAACCATCAAAAGCATGGTCAAAACAAAACGGTTTACTGAGCTTTTACATTTAGTTATCCAAAAGTCGACTATATATAAATGTTTCATTTTATTACAGTGTTAAAATGCATTCTTACTTTCCTGTGAGATTTTTTTCGATCATGACCAATTTGCTTATTCCGATTAGTTGACCATAATATTTTAAGAGTTCTCGACTGAATCCTCTAATCACAGAAAAATCATGTTTAACGCAAATACCTATCTGCAATGCCACCCACAATGTCAAATATGGACTAAAAATGTACAACCATACAGCTTTGGAAGCTTGTCAACTAATTGATTCCTTGCTTCCCAGGAAGATGGTTGATAGTTATGGAAAGTATAAAGCACAGCAGCCTAAAAGACAAGTAGAGAAAGAGGTAAAAAAAATTTCCTCACTGCAGAAAAGACCGTGGGAACAGTACACATAAAAGAGTGGCTTGCAAAGCAAAGAGAGCTAGTAAAGAAGAGGAAGGAACTGTTAAAAGTAATTGACAGGAAGACGGTTGATAGTTAAGGAAGGTATAAAGCACAGCAGCCTAAAAGATAAGTAGAAAAAGAGGTAAACAAAATTTCCCCACTGCAGAAAAGACCATGGAAACAGTACACACAAAAGAGTGGCTTGCAAAGCGAATAGAGCTAGTAAAGAAGAGGAAGGAACAGTCATGAACACTGATTATTTAAGATCTATATAAACTTGATTAGTTAAAAATAATTGACACTTTATTTAATGCAATGTGATTTTTGTTAAACTAGAGTAATGTTTAGTCAATTTGTATTGGTGTTAAATCGAAACAAAGTGCAAATGACATTGATGATTAAAGCATAAGAATGACTGATGATATTTTAACTTTAAATTAAATAAAAGACTGAGACAGTAAAATTTATAATTTTCAAATTGATGCTAGAAGAATTTCGTTTCTACATTGCATGTATCTAGTTTGGAATTAAACCATTTTGTACATGTCATTGGTAGTTAGTAAATTTTATTATTTTAAAATACCATTAATTTCTTGATTGATACCAAAATTACATGTTCATTAATTTCACTATGCATAAAAATACATCTTTTGAGTTGTTAAATATACTAATATTTTTACAATGGTGTCCTCTCATGACCCTTTTGTAGCTCTGCCATCATGTATCATAGCATTGCCATAAAATGATGAAAAATAATTTTTAGATATTTTGTATTCCAACTAACTCTTTCCTTATCACCATTGTACTAAGAGTAAAGTTTTTCTGTTTCAAGTAAAAGTGTACACAGAGTGCTAATTGTGCATTTAAAATGTGTGCTTTTTTTTAAAGAAAACATAATTGAAACTTGTTTAGAACGTGATGTTTTTATTTATGTATTACAATCTTACTATTTTTCAAGTGGTTTTAACATGTAGAATTATGTGCAAGCTTACCTTCAACTTTTTCTAGTTTAGCTAGTGTTAGTCCTAGGGCATTTATTCGATGAGGTGATCTTGTAGCAAACGTTCCCATGGATTTTCCATTAAGTCTTGGAGGATGAACCTTAGCTCTCATAAACATTTCATTTTTTTTGGAATATTGGTTTTTGTGAAACATAAAAAGTATCCTGTCAATGTAAATATGAAATACTTAAAATCAACAATTTTGTGCATTATAAAAGCATCAATTTTCACAAGAAATACACATTTACTAAGACAAATGTAGCCAACCATGTAATAAACTTACCTTACAAACCAATCTGAGTGTTACTTAGCTTACTATAGTTTAATTCATTTGCCATACTTTACAATTCAATATGGTGTTTTGTAAAAAAGGGCCATTTTGATTGGAAACAGATATCCATATTTCTTTACACCAGATGATTTCTTGAAATAAAACATATATACTACCATCTCCTTTAAAAGTTACAGTTAAATGCTGAAACCTGGCAAAGCATTATAAACCAATAGGTATAAAATGTTGATAAAATGCATATAAACTGCAATGTATTTTTTTCTGCATGCCTTTTAAAAGTTCTCTATTTTGTATTCAAAGGCCTCATTGGCAGTGAATTTTGGAAGAAAAGATAAACTTGAAATAATGTTCTGATACGCCTCTTATTTTGAATACAAAATGGGAAAATTAAGATATGGGGAGGGGAAAAATTGTTTATAAGATTTTTTAACATCTTTGTTTTAATACTATTACAAATTTATACTTGCATCACCAACAAACTGGTGTGGTATGTGTATTAATGATATGGAAGGATGAAAATTTATTCAGTACCCAAATGGGAATTTGTGAGAGCATCCTAATGCCTTTTGAATAATTATAAATAAATAAAAAACTAATATAAGAGCAGATTTGGATGAATTTGAGGAAATAAATTATGGAAATGTTGTGTGCAACATTTACTTATCTTCGGAAGGACAAAATAAAACATGTCCTACAAAAGTTATAATTTTCCTGCACTGAAAATTTTATTTTTGGTAGGTACTTATTTCCGCTCACGTACATAGCTATTCTGGTTCAGTGCTGCTCTCTATTTGCAATATTTTTTTCACATGCCATAAGCCATTCACTTCCATACACCCCTGATTCACATGGTTTAACTGATTCTTTCATGAAACAAACCTCCACCAATAGTAGTGTCATATGCCCACGTGACTCCCTCTATGCTATTCTACTTAACTATCAATTTGAGTTTCGGCAGAAATGTAAGCACCGATTGACAGTGTGAGTGGAAGTAAGTACAATACATTTTCAGTATAAGAAAATTATAACTCCTGACAAGGTACCTTACTTCCGCTCACATATATAGTTACAATCCCACATGAAATAGATGGAGTGACCAGTGCAAGGGAGAAAGTAGAAGCATCTGAAGGACACCCTAAAGAGGGGGACCCTTTAATAAGAGGATGATATGTGGAAGACTGTCTTCACCTCAAGTTCAGCTGATCAGAGGGAGAAATCCCACTGCCAATTTGTGAACAGGGCACATGTGAGAAGAGTGAAATAACATACATATATATATTCCACTCAAATCGAACAGACTGGAACCACCTCAAATGCAGTAACATCCTTGGCATAAAGACATCGAGGGGTAATGCAAGATGAAAAAGTGGAGTAACCAACAAGTGCACCCACTGTGACCCACAGTAGTGCAACTGCGGTGAATTGAGTGATCTCTCATTCAGGAGGACACCTTCATGGTCCACCACCCCCACAGCTTTGAACTGGAAAGTGGTAAGGACTCTCTTACTCCACTGGAAGAAATAGGAGGGGGGGGGGACAGTGGAGAGTCTGGAGGAACATTCACACCAAAGAAATTGCAATGGGTTACCATAAAATTATTTTGAAAAGTAGACTTATTTATTCAATCTAAGGAATGGGCAGCAATCCTTTTCTGCTTTACCCATGAAGACCATGGGTTAGTATGGTCTGGAATGGGCATTTTTATTTAGCAAAAATATCACGAGGAATAACCTACAGGCGATCTTGTGGAACACCACATCTCTAGTGTATGTGACTGTAATGAACAATGTGTGTTTTGTGGTTATGGAAATTATGAAAGTGAAGACAAAATGGTCACACAAAGCAGGTTTCAGTACAATTCTAAGTGATTGAAGAATACCTTGATAGGCACCACTTGCCACATAGCAAGATCCTGGTCAAAATATGGGACAGGCCCCTGAAAAATAATATATATATAATAAAAGAAAAAACTTAACCTGCTACAGTTGCACCGAAGGATGGGAACAGATGGAAGACAGTACCCTGATGAGGAACAAACAGCAACCGAAAGCAGTTTATGGGAAATGAACATATGAGGTGTAGTCCCTTTGCTCCACAGACGAAGTACCTCCATCAGATGATGGAGTTGAGATGCAGGTAAAAGGTAAGGTGCCTGAACAGAGTGAAGACACCAGGAATTGATTACAGGAAGAAGGAGACAAGGAATAAAAGGTCAATTGAATCATAAGCCAAACTCAATGGGTAAGGGGAGAAGGGAATGAAACTGTGGAAAATGGAGTCAACAGAAACAAGCCTTGAAAGCAATGAAGCAACCCAGAGCATGTACGAGACAGAGAAGGTCATCTGTATCTGACCAAGAATAAAGGTGGAAGATGGCAAGAAATGAAAATGATAAAAAGAATATTCCACCTGAGCCCCCAAAGTATAGGTTAGTAAAATCGATCAAGAACAACAAAAATATATCAAGCCAAAACAGCCGAGAAAACCAGATGTGTGCTGGCCAGCAAGGATCAATTAGATAAACCTAACCAGAAGTGACATGGTTGATCAAAATCACTCTGGGAATAAGACTGATGGAATGAGAAAATTTATAAAATGAATCTAACCTGTTTGAACGTATCAACAGCCAGGGCAAGTGGATGATGAGTCAGACACCAAAAACAAAAGAGGTAACTTGGAATTGAGAAAGGATTCAAACACTTCCTGTGGAGGAATACCCACAGGAGGCAGAACCACTGAAAATTTGATGATCGAAATGCGATCTACAAAAAGGATGAAAGCACCTGGAACACACCAGGAGATGTATGTCAAGTATGTGGGTTAAAAAAAGGTCGATCCACTGTCTACCACAAATGAAACAAGAATAAGTGCCCCCTTGGTGAGCAATATAAGCCACCACCATCGAATAGTGGGAATAAAGCTATTCAAATCCAAACAAGACGAAAAATGTGAACTAAAACATGTTGGACTGCTAGGGTGTTAACATGGTAAGACCTTTCATCCATATACCCTTGTCCTGAAGCCTCCTGCTGATCGACCCACACCCCCAAGACAAGGGGGAAGAATTGGTAAATCCAATAATGTGGAGGATGTGTTCAAACATCAAAGCATATATTCAAAGAGGGGAGGAGGAGAATCCAAAGGAACCCTAGCAAAAGACCATGGGTAGTGCAGTGTCTCCTGAAAAGATCACAAATGTGCCAGGCCCAAAGGGAGAAGTGCTTCCATAGAAGCCACATCCCCCAATGTGTTAGAACCTCACTAGCAGTAAGATAGTGAACTGTAATGGTGTGGATAACAAAAAACTCCATTAAATGCAATCGAGAAGGAGAAGGGATGGTCCTGATGAAGGTGTGTGTTTAAAAAGACACTCCCCAAATAACCAAGATTGTTAGGTAGGTAACATGAAAAATTTATCCAACTAGAAATTCCAACCACCTGAGCTGCTTATGTAAGAAGCAAGTGTGTATATTATGACAACCCCCATTTGAAAGGAGCTCACTGAAGTTAGACATCCAAGTAGTAAAATCCCCCAAATGTGGAAGTCGGGTAAAATGCAGACCCCCTGACATCCAAGCAGTAAAATCCCCCAAATGTGGAAGTCGGGTAAAATGCAGACCCCCTGACAAAAGACATACGAACCGAAACAAGTCCGAAGGGCAGTGCATGAAACTGGTACCGAATCATGTGGTGAAAAAAACCAAAGATAACCTGAGAAATGAAAAATAAGAACGTGTACCATAGGCATTCTCAGTACTGCAGACATTGCCCACCAAATTGTGATCAAGGACTACATATTAAAAATGGGGAAGAACCAAGAAGTAATTGAGGCAGGACCAATCGATCCAGAACTCCAATCAGCATCGAGCATACATGACTAACGGAGAAACCTGTAGGTAGGATAGGTAAAAGACAGTAAGGTGCTGGACATGGAACATGAATAGATATGGCAATGAATCAGAATGAAACAAAAGAATAACCAAAAAAAAAAAAAGAATATAGCATTGCAGATACTTCATGAATGGGAGTAGCTCCCAAAAGAATGTACCAGTGGAGAAAAAGAGCTGACCTTAAGTCTCTAATAGAAGTGGATGGTAAACAAATGGTATAAGACAGTGTCCCACCCCAGAAGATCCCAAAAGCAAAGAAGTTACATGTGGAGGGAAAGAACTGAAGATGGAAATGCCCCAAAATGGAGGAAAAGAGGTATTCTATGAAAATCCCCTAGATATAGGTGGAACACTTAAGAAAGGAAGTGTAAGGTAGACATTTCCTGTAGGAGAGTCAATAGAGTAAGAAGAAACTGGAAAACTAGGTGGGGGATAAAATGGATAGGATTAACAGAGACTGCTCTCCATACCTACTCATACAGGCAACAGAGATTCTAAGTACATAGAATCAAGAAGAAAATTTGCCTGATGATAAGTTAAGCCTGTGGAGGGTGAGGCATGCAAGTACTCTATCCCAAAAGACACAAAAATGCTCATCATGAAACATAATGTCTGGAGAAGGAGAGGAAAAGTACACTGTGAGACTTGTCTAAAAAAAAAAAAAAAAATACTGAGGTAGGCCTAGCAGATTCCGCAGTAGAGGTCTGGGAATGCAAGCCATAATAAGGTGGAAGAAAACTGATAAAATCTAGATTTTCCTAAACAGGTTAAGCAGTTGTAGGAGGGAGGCGAGCAATATTTGGAGAAGGTAGGGCACCCCCAGGGGTCCTCACAAACGAAATTAATTGTAAGAAGTATAAATGATTAAGAATTACAAAAATGAAACAGTAGATATAATGTAAATTGAAGTAAGTGTGTTGTGAAATAAACATATGTATAAGATGTTATGTGTTGAAGAACACAAAGATATTTAACCTAATTATTGATTTACCTCTAAGATGAACTACAGGTAAACCAAAAATAACAGGCAATTGATAAGTTTAATCAATGTGTGCAGGACAAAGTATATCACTAAGCTCTAATTTAAAAACCCTAACCTAACAATAATACGTACAATATCGGGAGAAGTTTGTGCAGACCCCAGCTCCAGGAGTCCACATTAACAAAGTTAATATGATAAAAGATAAATAATAACAAAAATGAAATACATTATATTGTAAAATTATTGACAATAACTTATGTATGAGATGTGATGTTTTGAGAAAACACAATATAGTTAACCTAATTTATGATATACTGGTAAGATGAATTACGAGTTGTCCTAAAATAACAAAGACCTTTGTTAAGCCTAATCTAATGTTATAGAACAAAGTATACAACTAAGCCCTAATTCAGTCAAGGCCCAAAAAAGGTTAGTTCATTGAATGATAATCTCCCGACAAAGTAAAGCCAATAATTCCCCAGGTAAGGACTGCCACCTGAAGCCTGTGTAAATGTGCTGATATAAGTTATAACCTTTGAAGTGGTAAATTAGAATTTGAAATTCATATCCAAAATGAGTAACCAAACTCAACCATCTTTGCAGAAAGAAATAAAAAGTAGAAAAAATGTTTAATGAAGTATTAAATTCCTTAACTGAGTAGAAATATAAAATAATAAGTTACAAATATCACTGTTGTATAATAAATAGTAAACTTGGTGAGAGAAATTGATATGAAGATATGAAAAAAAACACTTGAGGAGAGCACAAACTAAACGTCTAAACACAAGCACGGCCAAACGAGAAGAGATAATTAGGTAGAATAGCACATTGGTGTGTGGAACTACTATTGGTGGAGGTTTGTTGCATAATAATTTGCATGCAAAAATCATGTGAACCATGTGAATCAAGTGGTGCATAAGAGTGAAAGGCTTGTGGCATACAAAAAAAAATTGCAAACAGAGGACAGCTATGTATATGAACAGAAGTAAGGTAATTTATCGGAAGCTCTTTGGATGATTCAAGTAGGTCAAGGTATGGGTTGAGTAGCTCCCTCTCCAAAAATAGAAAATTTTAAGAAACGAAATAACTTTGATTACATTTGAAAACACGTACTCAAATAAGTGCACTTGAACCAAGACATTTCAATAGACATATTTACTACTGGAATGACAAACAATAACCTGAAACATTATATGGGTGTGAGGCATCATTTAGCCAAACTATGTTTTATTTCATGCTACAGTTAAAGCAGCCTGAACAGGTTCCTCAATGGATGGAAAAGCAAAGAATATGACCATCAACAACAGATCTTATGTACATTGCTTACAGCTCTGACTTTGTGCACGGGATGTCCATGAGTGATCTACAAAGGTTCTGTGACTGAACACTAGGGTCAGAAAGGTTAATGTATTTATCAAAATATGGTGAAAGCTGTGTCATAGATTTAAGATATAAAAATAGATTATCACGATAGCAGAGAAATAACTGAAAAAAAAATCATGAAGTTTGAGATATGTTGGTAATATACCCATGGAAATAAAATATGTATCAAACACAACATTGAAAGGTGAAACTAATTTGAAGACGGTTTGGCTTATTCAGAATAGAACACTGAATACAGACACAACTTTTGTTTTATTTACATAAGAGCCTCTAACAAATCTTACATTGATACAGGATCAACCTGTCAGGGGTGTGACAGTATATATACTTTTATCACAAAATGAAAAGGGTGTGATGAATTGGTGAAACCTTACTTATAATATGCAAATTTCATAACAAAGAAAGAAATACTATATGTCATACAATATTGAAAACATTAGAAAAACCTAACCTACATCCTACAATTTGATATGACCCGAGACATTTTAATATTTCAAGAATAAATAGAAAGCTTTCCAAGATGTATTAGAATGAATCACATTTTCTTAGAAAAACTCTTTCACAAACACAAAAAACTTCTTTCCCAAAATATATAATTTCTTCACAACTATGCATGGATTGCCTTCTTTGGAGGTTTGACAAGATTATCCATTAGTTTGACAGGTTTAGTTTTATACTAGTATGCAAAAGTGATCTAATGATACACATACATACACAATTTTTTTTAGACAGTTAAAAACTAAATAAAGATAAACAAATGAAATTGGCTCAATACGAGCTTTCTACTGAATTAGCAAAAAAAGTTTGGAAAAGTTCATCCAGTCCTAACTGCAACTATAAGTTTGAAGGGGACCTAGAAATTACCTTGTCACATTACAGACTTTCACCACAAGGCGGAGAAGGAAAAAAGACTGAATATCTTTAAATCTTATTTTTTTGCATGAATCAGATAGATTTGTCATTGGTATTAATTGTTTTATTTTTAATTTACTTAAACTCTGTAATCAACATTGACAATAAATGTTAACTTATGTTATCTACAAGGGCTAGTTTACAATAATATACAAGATGCAACTGTAATTTGAGTAAAGAGTAAAACTTACCAGATATGAGAGAAGTCTTCTATCCCTTGTAGTGCATGTTCAGGATTACTGAAGACATGTTTATCAATTACGAGCTTGGCTCTTGCAGAATCACACACTGAAGGTTGTCGAGGAGTTCCATTTTTAGTCTTGAACCAAGAGTGAATTTTTCCAATACACCTCAGTGTAAAGACATCTTTACCGGCTTTGAAATATAAACAACAAATAAAACAGAGAAAAATATTCATCTATATGAAACTTCCATTCGATATGAAGTTTTCTAGCTTAGAAACAAACAAAAACATTTTATATACATATTCTGTATGAAGTCATGGATGAAAAACCATATATACAAGTGTATGAAAACAAGAAGCAAGAAATGTATCACATTCAAAAAAGGCAATCTGTTTAACAAGTTTGATATCTCAAAGACCAAAAATATATTAGTGACAATTATAAAGTAATATTTTAAAATACTCAAACAAGATGCCCATTTTAAAAATGTGATGCTTAACTAATTTTGTAATTATGAATAAAAAATAATCTTTTCATCACTGACATCTACAAATAAGCTTTTACCCCGAGATAAAAATACTGAACCAAGAGGAGTTGTGCTCCTTAATTTACTTGCATAAATAGTAGATTTGCTAATTTCTGAATATGCAATATTTGGTAATTCAGTTCACTGTCATTTGTTAAAGTTATATATGAGAAAATTGTATGCTTTCATTAGTTTTGTAACTACAGTCACTGTTGGAAAAAAATGACAAGTTTTATATGTTAGTTACTTATAAATTTACTCCCCACTTTTACTCAAATGTTATAAAAACTACACCAAAAATTAAAACAAAGATTTAAATGAAAAATATATAATTACTAAATGAAGAGCAAGTTTAAATTTGTTGCAACAGCATATTTGAATGTATATAGTAAAGATGCAAATAAAAGAGTAACTACTGCAAACGTGTGGATAAATAAATATTTCTGTACAGTAAAAAAATTAATTTTTTTACGAGGGAATGTTAGCCTACCATTATTATCAGAATTATTCTGTATATGATTTTTATTTTCAAAAAACAACTTTTCTTCTTTACTCTTTCTCTCATTCTTTAATCCCTGTAATTCTTTCCTTGGAGTTGAGCAATCAGCATGTGAATCCAGTAGGACACCTAATTCATTGTTCAGTAAGTGATGGATCTTGAACAGTTCCTTCTCTTGCACTTTTTTTAACTTCTCCATATTTAGCCTAACAATATGAAGTGAAAAAAACAACAACAGACATTTATGTGATATTCATAAAATTGTTTAATGAATTTAGCTTAAATATATTTTATAAATACCAACTATAGAATGAAACTCATGATTATGTATGGTAATACTACCCTTCCACAACCAGATATATGGTACATCAGCAGTTTCAGCTTCCATCACTAGGTAGATATATGGTAAGCAATGCCACCAAATGGAGCTTTAGCTTGTATGACATTAGCAAACTGGAAAGCTTGAGAACCTCAAAAGTTTTACTAGAAACAAAAATCACACAAATTTAAGGTTGGATTTCATTATATTAAGTTAACTTTTAAAGAAAAATATACTAGTTAAAAACTCTCTTCACCCCGACTTCATTTGTATTCTTACTGTACTTAATGCAGTAATAGTGATATCTAAGGTAAAGTAAAAGTATTGGTGGACAGATCAACTGAACATGTGAATGGAAATCCTGTAAAATGCACTCAGTTTTATAAAGTTCTTGTATAAAAACTAGCAGATACACATCATGGTGAATCCTAAACAAGCTCTCAACTAATGTGTATTTCTGTATACTCAGTTATTCTACTTTGGGACATCATAGATATATACTGATGATCTCAGAACACACGTGAAGATGCTGGTGGTAAATTATTTTATCTTGACTACATTTGTTGATTCTTGCAGTTTCTACTTATGCCCATAAAAAGAAACTCAATGCATTACACAAATCTAATTTATTATGCTAAAGTTTATACATATTTCTTGATACACCAATTAATTTTATTAGGATATCTTATGCCTCTAGATCTCCTTTTAATTACTTTGGCAAAATGTATTGTTATTTCACACCTAATAGCAATTTGCAGGTACATCAAGTAATTAATGAAATGTTTGCTTAATATTACTTGAGAATATTACAAGAAGAACAAGATTTCACATCACATCATCTGATTGGTTAATAAAGCATTTTACAGCAATGGGCAAATTGAGACACAGTTAATTTGTTCTTTTAGCTAATTTTTAGGTATGAACTCTTTGTGGATTCACCCCAATGTATATTTTTTATTTTTTTTGTATAACTAAATAAAATTCGGTGTCTTTTACAGGTTTTCCATTCAAATGGGTAATTGATCTGTAACACTGTATCAGTATTATTATTTTTATCCTAGATGCTATTTCTTTATGTAATAATAGTATTCATTAAATAATATTAATAGTGATTCTAAGTAAAAATTCCCAAAAGCAATGAGCTAAAACCAACACTGGGCCGATTACAGTTACAGAAGATTTTTACATAACATAAGACATCAATGATTTCGATTTTTATTAACTCGCAACCGAAAACAAAAAAGTGGAAAACTTATACCACGAAAAACGGCTAATATTAGATAGACGTTTTAATATTCAGAACGTTTCGGGTTGGGACGACCTTCCTCTGGTGATTTTAATTTTAAACATCTATTCAACATTAGACATTTTTCATGGTATAAGTTTCCACTTTTTTGTTTTCGATTTCATCGTATTACAGCAGTGTTTTTAGCTGATTTTCTTATTAACTGGCGTTTAATACTCTTACTTAGTAAGAGTATTAATTAATTATTAACTATTTTAAGTAATTTATGAATAATCATAAATTCAAAAATTTATTTTTGCAGAATATAGTATTAATACATAAGTTGAATATAATAGATTGAAATTTACTGATGCATACCTCAGATTTTTTAATTCTTTTCTCGCAATAGCAATTTGACGTTTCAAATCATCATTTCTAAATGATAATCTCTCAATCTCTCCACCTGTTCCACACGCCGCCATATTGTCAATTAATGCCACCTACTGTCCTATACGCAATGGTCAGATGTATTTAACATATATACTCGAATTCCATTCTTGTTGTTAATATACACTCGTTCACTAGTGCTTTTTATGAATCTATAAAAGCAATATGGTTAAGGAGGTTTTATACGTATGTAGTTATTCTAAGCTTATCTCTTAAAGATATCAAAAACTGTCAATGTGTTATATGTACTCTGTTTACCATGAGGAATTGAACCCCGGATTTTAGCACTGAAGTTCGTAAACATATTGCTCACCCACCGGGGGACATTAAGAAGTAAAATATAATCACAATTACACCAAAAAGGGCATTATTATTATTTTCATCAAAGCACTGAAATATGGTAAAAAGGTGTGTTATCATGAGTTATGTGTTTCCATTTCGTTAACACTGTGTTCTAATAGTTTAAATAGGTCGAACACTTTCAGATTATTCGGTCAAATCGATAGACCTACCTTCACAAATAAAGTACATACGTAAAATATAAGTTTCACTTTCTTGCTAATTTGGTACCTCTGTTCTTTTGTCACAAACTTAATTTTCCCATCACTGAATTAACTAACTGGCTGACAGATAAACTGATCAATTCATGTACTGATTACTCATTAGATGACTATCAGACGTCACTCTCTCTACCTTATTTAATGATCCTAGCTAGCCAAACATATTTTTTATGTATGGGTCAAACTGTTTCCTAAAATCGAGATATTAAGGCCACGCCTATCACGTTATGTCAAACTTCTTTCCAGTTAAACAAGAGTGCACATTTTTAGAAAAGTCTAAATTTTAAAGTATAAGCTATATCAATAAAGTGCCATTCTTTGAGAAAAAAATATAAATATGAATTATTTTTTTCAGGAAATTCTCCATTCTTTCTCTCAACTCTTGTAAGTTGCTGGCTTCCACATTCTGCCGACGACAACTTATTCCGTGAGCTACATACCCTGTTAGGTATACAAAACTGTCTAACACGGAACTAAGACTGTCTTCAGACAGTTCAAAGTTTTAAATTATCTATTGTTACGTATCTGCTTGTTTGTTTGTTTCTGGTAGAAATTCTTTCTGAGGAACTTCAG